ATTTTATTCAAAAATAAAAACATTATCGTTTTTTTCTCAAAACCACATAAAATCGTATTATACATCGACAGAGGGACAGAATAAGACGAAACATTAAAATCAAGATGTATCTCGCTGCATTGCGCGTGTACCCTTATAGTATATATATATATATATATATATATCAAGTATTAGGTTCAAGTTGGAGAATAAAAATAAGAATGAAAGTGATAATGATAAAAAATGAAAATGAGAATAACTTTTTCATTCCCACTGGTTTAAACTTGTAATAAAAAATTTGAGCTGATCGGAAAAATTTGAGCTTATGGGGGCATGAACTATATATTACATAAACCAAACAGTTTCTTTTATTATCACTTGCGTTGATTATTGTCTAATAACTTTAACCAAACACCCCTAAAAATGTTAAAAAGGAAAAAAGAGAGCCTCAGCAACCGTGAATCAAGTTTAATCCAATGATTGTAAATAATAGAAGGGTAATTTGAACTTGGGTCATGTATCTATTTAGATATGGGGATTGATAAGGATTCCTCTGTTATTTTTTAGAGGTTTCTATTGAACTTTTATATATATATATATATATATATATATATATATATATTATATAGTTAAGAGGAAAAAATGAAAAACTGAGGAACACCTTGATCTAGACGATATGCACATGTGCATACAAGTAATTTGTGAAATTTGTCCGGTATGTACATGTGCATAACATGTACACGTGTATAAGAACCAAAAAGTAACTTCAATTACTTGTATGCACATGTGAATACCGTCCATATGAATTATTACCAGGTCCTCTGTTTTTCATTGTTTTGAGAGGTTTTCCCGCCCATGAAACAACATAAATTACTTATATGCATATGTGTATATTGTATAGATAAACAATTACTAAAGTGTTTTTCAAATTTTCATTTTTCAAGGGTTTTCCCCTAAGTTTTTCCCCTCTCTCTCTCTCTATACACTCACTCTCACTCTCACTCTCTCTCTCTCTCTCTCTCTCTCTCTCTCTCTCTCTCACGCGCGCACACACACACACACACACATATATATATATATATAATATGTGTGTATGTACATATAGGGTAGTTTCATAATTTATTTATTTAGTACCATCTTCTAGTTTTTCGTCCCGTGTATTTTGATTATATTTTTATCCCACTTAATCTCGTTTCGTCCCAATTTAATGTCACACTAAACATAGAATAATGACTTTACAACAAAACTCCAAGTATGATATCTTTTTCCTTTAGAATGACGTAAAATGGTACATTACTTTCGTTCTATATTTTTGACATGGCCAAATTTGGTCTTTCCCAAGATTATAAATAGCTACGATATGACTTAAAAGATAATAAATTTGTATATCATATACATGCAACATATTTTATGCTGTTACTCAATGATATTTAACAATTTAAATTCATATATCGATATTATATGTTTGGGTTGTGTGAGAACCATAAAAAATTTAAGAACCACGAGAACCTGTATATGTTGGAAAATTTAGTGAGGCAGGAAGTTTCTACCATCACACGTTGGTAGCAATACAAACAATAAAGGGTTTTATAAGCTCATTCCCTCAAGTGGCCTTGAATGTGTTGTTGGGCTCATGGTGGAGGGTTGTATGAACGTATACATGCAAGACCATGACCGAGACCAAGGAGGCGCACTTTGCACTTCGCATTTCGTACAACGCATTGGAGGAAGCTTCCGAGCTTTCTTTTTATTGAACAGAGAGAAACGGGTAATTATTGATTAAATAATTTATCATTTAATATTTAGTAATTGTATTTCAACAAGGATTCGGTTTTTAGCATATTTAATTTGAAAATTAAACATGTTTTTTAAATTAATCTTATCAGTTGGAGACTTAGTCTCGAACTGCAAATCGTGATCCCTAATCTTGGCGAAGAAGCATCCGATCTTTAGAATGTGATCAGATATAAATAGGGTTTAAAGCTTTGAAGAATCAAACACTAAAAAAATCTGAATTCTCTAATCTCTCTATTATTGTTCTCTCTGCATCTGCGTCTGAGTTCTTCTCTACCATCAATTTTCTGCATCTACTTTGCTTCAATTTCATTGTCATTGTTGTTGACAATTGAAACATCAACTGCATCAAATCTTGGGATTTTACGACTTTGAGACTCGCAACTTAAAAAGGTAGTCATAGTAAACCTTAAACGACAAGATCTTATCCATCCGGTTTTGCTTCATATCATCTATGAATACTAGATTGGGTTTTCTTTTATGCACAATATTTATTATCTATTCTGTTTGTGAACATTCTGCTTCTACCCCTTTCTTTCGTTGCATCTATCACGAAGGATAGATCCATCCCATGTGGTTTAAATTCTGATTGGAGTATGACATTCCGGATTATTAAAGTTTTTCATCATTGATTAAAAAAGTTATCATCTTTAATAATAAAATTTAGGTTTTTTAATAAATTTATGGTTATTATTGATAAAGCTTTAGTTTTTCTTAATAAAATTTCAATCTTTATTAACACAGTTTATTGACTTTCTGTTAATAAAGATAAAAAATCTATTGAAATGTGAATATTGACTATCTGTTAACTATAAGTTTTTCATCAATCTTAAAGGTTTTGTATTAATATGAAACCCGGAAACGCCTCCAACTTTCATCTAATGAATTAAGAGTGTGTGAAACTTGACCAGTCTGATAAGGTTAAATTTATGTTGATGCTTTTGAACTCTATTTTGTTTTGGACTCAAAACTGCAACCTATTCTAGCCAACCCGGTTCCCGAATCAGGGAAAGAGCCAGATAAGGTCAAAATAGCCGAATTGGAGAAACGATGGCTAATCCACAAAGATGAGGAATCAATGGCCAACGGACATATCCAAAATGCTCTTTTAGACCAATTGTATGACTTATACTCCTTGATTACTGATCCAAGTGATCTTTAGAAAGCCTTGGAATATAAGTATAAGGCACAAGAAGAAGGTACTAATAAATATTTTGCGTCTCAATACTTGCGATTCTAAATGGTTAAACCAATCCTGGAACAAGTGCATGGACTTCAGGTTATTGTGAACAAATTAAAGACGTTTTCTATATCTCTTCCCGAAATCTTCTTGGTGGGGGCTGTCATTAATAAATTGCCCCCATCATGGAAGGATTTTACAAAAAGATTAATGTACAAATATGAAGATTATTCTTTGATGACCTGCTTAAACATATGAGAATTAAGGAAGAGGCTCGAAATTGGACTAAACAAGACAAGTCTGTGTTGGTTGCTGACAATATGCATGCTAGGAGCAAAGGCAAAGGAAATGTTTTAGGGTCAAGCAAGAAGTGGAATCTGGGTCCACAAAATAAAAACGTAAGAAGGTTGTGTCAGCAATCTAATCCAGGGCAGTGTTTCAAAACAATTTGCAAATGTCATGTCTGTAGAGAGACATGATATTATGCTCGTGAATGCAAGCAGAGGAAATCTGGTTCGCCAGCCACAAACACGATGGAAGATTTTGGGCATCTCCTGGAAAATCTTCAGATGGACGAGATTGATATGATTGTTGAAGCCTCTACCAAAATGGTGTCTGGTCGAAGGGGTTGGTTCTTAAACTCTAGGGCCATAGTTCATCTTTGTGACTCAAAGTCTAAATTTGTTGAGTATGATCTTTTAAGAGTCGGAAAACAAGTTATCGTGGCCAACAATAATAGAGTTGATGTTGCTAGTATCGGTACAATGCTGCTCAAATTCACGTCTGGCAAGACTGTCACATTGGAAAGTGCTGCTCAAATTCACGTCCTGCAAGACTGTCACATTGGAAAATGATACTATCAGTTGGGTATGTATCACGTGAACGTGGATGGTGATGATTCCAATCCCGAGGAGGCTGGTCCAAGTGAGTCGGTGGGTAGTAATAAGTTAGCAGTGTCTGGTGATGGCTTTGAGGGGTTCATCTATTTCTACTATTGATGTAATCCCCGGGTCTATCAATACAAATAATTCTTTTAAGTATCTTGCATGTTGAATTTCTTAATGGCAAAAAACGTTCAACATGTATAAATATAAAAAGTATTGGAAAAAAAATGCAAAATAAAGGATTAGTTAAATTGATAATAAAGATTCTAGAAATGTAAAACATGTGTAAAATCTACATTTACAAAGAAACATTTTCCTTCAGTTATCAAATTTAGAGTTGATTCATTCTGACATATGTGAATTAAATGGAATACTTACCCATGGAGGTGAAATATATTTCATTACATTCTGTTAATTATATGGTTAATTATAATTTTTTCAACAATATATACATTGAAATAAATACACTAATCAATTACGTATTTCGTCAATAAGTATACATATCTACTATGTATGTGAGTATACATTCATTAATAGATACCCTAAATTCACTAATGCATGTGTAAAAAAGGTTGATTGAAAAACTGAGAAACACCAAATAACCATTCATCTGTGGTATAGTATGTGTATGGATTTTTCAACTTTTTGGGTTGATCCTCTCTCTCTAAAATATTATATTAAGAACACAATCATGTGAAATTTGGAAAGGTGAAATACTAAAAGGAATAATAAGTACAGGTTCTTAAGCCTCAAATCAAAGTGTAGCTCTTTTTCCTCATTAAATAGCTTCAACTAACATCCAAATAGAAATAAAGCCTCACAGAAGAATCACAATCTCACATCATATTCACAAACTTATATATCAAACTGCAAAAATAATACGAAAAGCTAGATACGTAATCATGCCTGAACGTTAGCTTTGTTGCCAGCAAGAATGAGAGAGATCTCAAGCCCGCGACTGAATGCTTGATTGAACAGAAGCCGAGACTGGAAAGTGGAAATGAATGGGAACCAAGACAGCATTGCAATTGGTGCAAATATAATCATACCCATTCCTGCATCATACATTCTTGCAAACTCTCTCACTGAATCCCATAATCCTAAACTCCTCAAAACACCCTTCCATGTCACTGCCAACTGTACGTTAAAACACATCCAACCCATCATTCACAACATCATTCGTGTATAATCATCGATAGAATGCAATGATAGTGAACTTACGCATATTATGGCCCACCCAGTAGCAACAAAAGCAAGACAGCTGGCAAATAAGTCAGGAACTGATAGATCCGTAAAGATGACAACAAGACAAAGGGCAGCAATAAGGCTCAGAGCTGCAACTCCTTGAATGAATCTCAAGACTAGCTGGAAGTTGGACTTCTTTGAATTAAAGGTGAAGATCTGCAAACCAATGTAGCATCACATCAGTTCAGCCATGCATGTTTTCGATTAAATCATATATGAAAACACAATAAATAATAAAGCAAAGGCAAAAAACTGGGATAAAATAGGAGGAAACAAACCTTGAATATCATGACTAATCCAACCAACACCACCCAGGAGAAGCCATAAAGCTAGTCAACATAATAAATTTATCAGGATCAAGATAAAACAAGTTTTTTATACATGAATCAGTGGCAAGGTATGAAGAACATAAATGATAAAAGATTACATACTGTTCTGGTCAATAATAAAAAAATTTGTCTTGAGGTTTCCTGAACATCTATGGCCAAGACACTGGGGTTGGGGGTGGGCAGGGGGTGGAGTTACTGGGTGGGGCAGGGAACGGGTGTGGAAATAGAGTTGCTAGGAATTTCTTGCGACAGAGCCACAACATACCAATATGGTACAAACAAATTCAAGTTAGTCGGTTTGGTCATGTCGAAAGGGGAATAACTTGACTAGCAATAACTTAATAACAAAGATTAGGTAAATGTAGAAAGAAGATGCCTCAAAGCTGACCAAATTTTATGCTAGATTAAGGATTAGAGATGAAATTGTACCGAAAATGAAGTATTTTTCCCCGTGAGATGGAGCTTGTAAACTATCCCATATTGAAATAAGAAAAATCTCAAACTCAAGATAGTTTCAAGTATCCGGCCTCTGATTGTCTGGATATGTGCCTGTGAATGAAAGAAAGCAGATATAAATTAAAACAGGAACATGGAAGTTACAACTCCATGACCCAAAAGAACTAAATGATACAGAAACTGTTAGTTTTTTTTATTACTACAGTAGTTTAGTGCTTGTCATTTCATGATATAAGTCTGCTGCAAGTACTCTGGATTTCAAATAATATTTCTTAGGGTTGATTTAAATTCACAACTTTCAACAAGGAAGAGATGGAAGACCAAAAAAGATGAGATAATAACAATACTAAAAAATCGATCGAGTATGACGTAATAGCAAAACCTGTTCTTCGTCCCACCAGGATTCCCAACTGTTATCTCCTTTGACACCAACTCCACCTTTATACAGAAGCCAATTGATCCAATCATCAAAATCTTCCACAGTCCTGGTCACATGGTAACATAATGATAATGTAACATCCGAAACCAAGTTACAACACACACAGATTCTTGGAAGCATGAGCAGTTTATTAAAAAAACAGAAGTAGAGGAGGAGGCATAAAGCATACTTTTGCCATTCAAAACCAGATGGGTTGAAGATATATGGAGCAAATAACCATGAAATCACAAGGAACCAACTGCTTAATGTCAGCAAAATGTATGAAACAGCACCTCCTTGAGTGTATCCATAAGCAATATAAACAATAAGAAGCAATGCAACTTCCAGCCTGAGAAACAATTTGAAACACTTCTAAGCAAACATGTTGCAAACAGCACATAATTAATTAAAAATGATAGATAGAACAGATAATACTCACGCCTTCACAAAATGACTTCTTGAGTAGAGCCTGTAGTTATCAGCAAATTTGATATGTTGCACAACAAAGCCTCTACCAGTTGCTCGGTACTGTGGGATAACAACAAATATAACACGAGTTGCAAACACAAAAGTCGAACTATCTTTTCACACACAAATTGCATAAAGTAGTTTTACACACCTTAGCTCCACCATGTAAGATGGTTCGTCCAAAATAATGAGTTCTTGTTCCTAATGAGAAGGTAAAGAATACAGAGCATAGCTGAAGTTGCATTGTAATAAAACTGAAAATAGCCTGCAAAATATGACATCAGAAAACATTAAATCACTGCATAAGCACTATTAGAGACAACACATCCCACAATGCTAAAAAGAATCTACATCACAATCATCAGAAGTGTGATTGTGTTTCTCGAGATGGATGCAAATCACAGCATGCAAAAGTTGTGCGATAACAAATCCATGCTGTTGCAAAAAGAATCTTGAAACTAAGAAAATCCAGCTAGTATCAATGATGGTCAATATCTTTGAACACACCTTCAGTAATCCAAGTTCGAGAATAAAACCCATAATCATTGGAACAGCAGTAAATACTCCAATCTGGACTAAGAATTGAGCATTTAAAACTGCATTGAATGCAGTATTACCCAGCAACATGGATCTACGACTAATTCCCTGATCAAGTCCTGAGAAAGCCTGAAATTTCAATATACAACGATGCATTAATATCTACAGGAATACCTACACAGCGTAAAGAATCATTGTTATGCGTATTATTTGATACTGAATAAAACAAAAAGGAAACCGGTATTAAGTTAAATAAACACAACAAAAAGTAAGGGAACATGATTATATGGTTTGAAGTTTTGAAATTTTAAATATTATTCTTAAACAGAAGGAAGACAATTGATAGAATATGATGTCATCCAGTCCAGTAGCAACATATTGAACTTTCGGCGGTATAGAAGCAGAAAGAAAAATATCTGTTTAACTGATTCTTAAAAAATTGTAGTCCATGTGTTGCTCCTAACTTTATCAATCCTCATGTGCTTAATATCTTTAGCATAGATAATATTAAAGCTGATAGTATTAAACCTCATGTGCCTTTTGATTTTCTTTGGTGCAGGAAGCTAGGAGAAGCTTGTGCTGTTTCTGAGGGAAATATAGCTTGCACTTGATAAAGTATGATTTTGCATATGTTGTTACTTTGTGTTTTAAGGATAAGGAAAAACTGTTGGGTCCTAATACAGAGATTCAAAAGTTGATTCTTCCATGGGGTTTCTATGCTCTCTGTACCCATTTAGCTGACACTGACATGAATGTAACACTCAACTTAGACCTCTGAAGTAAATTTACAATTGCAGAGAGTACAGCAAAAAGTTACCAGGTATGCCCTCCCATACAAGAAAACATAGACTGTTAGAACTGTCATCTGCATCCAAAACAAGACCTCCATTAGAAAACCACGATTGCAGAAACTAATGCTTCCGAATACAGCATGCATTAGAAGAAAATTCAAACAAATAGATTACCATTGTGCACAAATAGTAACCAACTGTGGTGAAGTAGAAAGAGAGCATTCTAAAAAAGTCAAAAAGTTGTCCAATCCTGTACACATCCCTGCTTAAAACTTGCTCTCCATTTCCACCGGCAACTTTACCTTCGAACAGGGCAATTTGATTTAACCCAACATCTCTTCCTTTACCAACCTACAAACAAAAAGATTAGGTGTCCATAGGGAAAAAGATCATAATTGGAAATATTCAGAAGAATTGTCATGAACCTGTATGTATTCATGGTGTGTGATGTTACCCTGCCTCAAAGTGGAATTAAACCCTACAATAACATTGAGTGGAAGTTAGTGGACAAAAACGAGGGATGATTCTTTTATCTTATGTTCTTTAAACCTGATTCAGCAAGCAAAATACTACATTTAGTCTATTACAAGACAACCATCAAGCCCTATACTTTGTGGACCACTTTATCAATCATGTCACGTAATGCCTGATCTTTCCTAATGCTAGTTATTAGAAAATCAGTGAAGAAACATAGTGATCAGCATGTGATGTTGGAGCAGATAAAGGCAGCCCTTTCATACTCCAAGGCAAAAGAAAATCAGGGAAGAAACTTTGTAATCAGCGTCTGTTGTCCGAGCAGATGCATCAAGGTGCTTTCTGTATCTGGCCAAGGTGGGTATAGATCTTGACACTCATTGGATTGAAAGTAAATCAAAATAAATGTGGTTTAGACAATTGTAAAATGATTTTTCTTATGGTGTCAAGATTGAAAGGAACGAAATCAATTCCACATTTCATGAACTGAAAGATATGTATCACAAGACTTGGTGCATTTTCTAACTACAACACGACCGTTTGCCAATCATTTCCTTGGACATTTACACAAAATTTCTAACCTATAAAACAAGATAAAGAAGGGGAGGGGGGCAAAGATATTTCTGCAAACGCCAAAAAGGAGCACATAAGTCAAACAGTTTAGTCTTCCCCGTGCTCACCTGCATATATATCTTCACTGATATTAATAACACGTGATGCTTTACTTATTCCACCCCGAGAAATATGAAATATTCGATCAAAGACATCAGGATGTCCATAATGCATTCGGACTCTGCAATAAAAGCCAATCAATTAAAATATCAGAATGTTGCTTTATTTAAGTTTAAGGTGAAAGGTGAGTAATAGTGGCAACATTAACTCACAAAGAAATATATAAATATTTTTATGTACAATTAGGAAGCAAGTATATAGAATGCAACAAATCCCAAATAAAGAGGAGGAAATGGAAGATGCAATGTCAACTTTGTTCATTGAAGGTTTATTTGGACCCCTCTAGATTTAGATCAACAGTACAGCATCAACATCTCTTGCAGGAAGGCGAATCAAGAGTTCAAGACTAACACATGATACCAGCATCCAGCATTGAGCTCCACAAATGAGTCAATCTGAAGAAATTCCTTGGAGAACAGCGTCTAAGGAACACAAACCCTCATGACAGGAAGGTATACAGAAACTCAAACAACATCCATTCCACCACTTTAAGACAAAAGATTTGGGAAAAGTCAAGTACATTTAGGGAATAGAGGTTGCACAGTCTCAAAAGGGTATCTTCATCTCCCAACGGAAGTACGCCCCCGACATCCTGAAAGAAACCTCCTGATCAAGGAGAGCCCTTATCAAATCCAAGTCAATACCAAAGACTTATTGGCGAACTCAACTACCTCACGGTGACACGTCCTGATAATTGATATAATGTTCCCAATGACTGTTCTTAACCAATTTCTAGATGACTGTTCTTAACCAATTTCTAAGTACTCCATGTGATAGTCACTGGAATGCAGCCATTTGTGCTTTGAGATACATCAAGAGAACTCCGAGGAAAGGCCTATTATATGAGAGCAAAAGGCACACTTAAGTGATTGGCTATATGGATGCTAATGATGCAGGTGATTGTCCGTTTGATAAACGCTCAACCACGGGATATTGTGTCTTTATGGGGGAACCTTGTTTCATGGAAAAGCAAGAAACAGTCTTTGTTTCTTTGTCAACTGTTGAAGCCAAATATCGAGCATGGCCAAAGCAGTGGGTGAACTTATATGGTTGAAACAGTTTCTCAAGGAGTTGAAGCTCATACAGGTCCAACAAATGAAACTAATATGTGATAATCAAGCAGCTCTCCATATTGTGTCGAATCCCGTCTTTAATGAAAGGACCAAACTGCAGAGATTGATTGCCATTTTCGAGAGAAAGTTCTTTCGGGAGAAATTGCTACTAGTTTTATCAAGTCCAATGATCAACTAGGAGACATATTTACGAAGTTTCTCATAGGTCCTCAGATTAATTACATTTGTAACAAGCTTGGAACATACAATTTGTATGCTGCAGCTTGAGAGGGAGTGTTGAATATTTTAGCTGAAATTATTCTCTGTATCTTCTGCTTTTATGTAGTTTCCTAGAATATGTAGGAACCTTTTGTATAAATACAGGTTGCATCCTTGTATCAATATATCATATACAAGAGTTTTTCTAAAATCCTCTCACAGTATTCAAGTTTTCTGCCAGTAAACTCCTTCGACTCATACCCAGCAAATGCATCACATTATGCAAATGACCACAGAATGAATACTTGTCACATAACCCAATTCTCTGCTTCTTAAGTGACGCTTTGCACCTCTCAGGAAGCCGATGCACATAAAGCATGCCCATAACTCCACAGAAACCTCCGGAGTTCCTCGGAGAAGAGAACTGCCTCGCTTCGGCCACCACCTCATCATCCTATAATTGATCATCAACAGACAATGATAACTACCAACTTATGAGAGTCTCTCGAGGTGTTTTCGATGACGTCGTCAAGACTTTTCCAGCCACAGTCTCGCCTTTTTCTCTTCGGGTTTCTTTCTCCATCGTGAACTCCCCCATGCCCGGCTCCTAATACCTCTGTAATGTGTCCACTCAACTGCATCCTCTTATATACTCAAGCTGACTTTTTCTTCTTCTTTCCACCTGGCTTTACCGCTTCCACTCTTCTCCAATGTTTCGGGACAATTTTAGCTTGTCATACTCGAGCCACTCGCTGGAGATGGCGTCAGAAGACTCCCATCTAAGAGATGCTTCCTGATGGCATCTAGAATAGAGGATCGTTTGTTTTATGATTTTACATTATCCAATTTACTGCAATAAAATTCCTTTATGGCCTAAACTGTGACAAGGATGATGATGAAGGTATGATGTGATGTGGCCCACACTAGCTACAAACATCAAAAGCAACTATTATGAACGTAAGAATGATAAAAAAGATTTTAAACTTTTCACCCCAAAAAAGCAGACAACCAGCGCCAGCTCTTCATTTACAACACAGAAAATCATTGATATCAATACCAAATAATGATATTGGCAAAGATTGTAACTCCTATTCTCATTTGTTTCTCATTTAACTGCAAAAATTGTAATTCAAATTAACTTGAGTTAGGACACATGACAAAAGATGAACACCATATATCACCTCCCATTCTCAAACCCTTAAGCAGAAAAGGTTCAATATAGTTACTCCACTAACAGAATGCACAAGTTTGAGTTCTTTGCAAGTAACTCTGTTTCAAAAGGACCATCATCATTGCAACATATTTCACATAAACTTTCAGATTTCCGGTAAATTCTGCGACACGTGTTTAAGTAATGGGTTAATATGCCTCAAATACAAAATTGATCAGATACCTAGTTTCTTCTACTTTCATCATGTCTTTGCAACTAAGACATAACACACTCAATAAATTAACTGCTATATACAAAACTAATGTTAGAGTATAAAATAAACTTATGTTATAACAATGCATGCAAGTTGTAGGCAACTCACTTGAGAGGATATGCCAAAACACGTTGTCCCAAAGTTACAAAGCTTGTCTCTTGGTTGGACATAAACCAGGCCAGGGAAGAAACACTGCACAAAATATCGAGAAAAGACATTAATAAAAAATACAAATGAAACCAACAATACTGTCCTACTCGGGCTGTTTGTGTGTGTGTGCCCTTTTCTTTATTGCTTATTAGTTATTCAGGCAATACATGTATTAACAAGATGATTAATAGAAAGGCATACCTTCCGGTAAATACATGCTCTCTAACACCAAGGATAGTCGGAGGGCGTAAGCCATGATTTCCTCGAAATTCCTCAAGAAGGTTTCTCATTTTCATTGCCTCCTCAAGGTAATTGTCCTTCAAAAACAATAACAATCAAAGCACTGAAATTATCTACTATAACCCCATCATAGCTATAATGTACCGTTGACACAACATCCGACAGGACATGACAACATTTATAAAGGGTTAAGATTACAACACAGCTGGGATGTTATTCCATGAGCTATGCATATTTCTCTAATGAAAACGGACGGTCGGTGACATAAGGGTATTTTATAGTTGCATAGAACATAATCTAAGGGGTGTTATAAGTGATTTGATGTAAGTTGACCTAATAACTTATGTGTGATGAGTGCTGTTTCGAGAAACATTAAACAAAACAGAATCAAACCAAATGTCCTCTTCAATTTATCCTTGCTACTTGATGTTCTATCAAAGGTGAGGGATATTGTATCGGGCTTGTGTCAAAGATATTGTAACCATGTGACCTATCAGAAGTGGCCATGCTTGGTAGCGGAAGGTAAAAGAACAACTAACGGAAGCCACATTGTAGACTAAATTCTAGACCATTTTCCATCAAATGGTGACGAAAAAATTCAATTTGGTATTTAGAAGCTTGCTGCAATAATAGAAGCATTAAGACAATGAATTCGAAGGGGTGTAGAGGCTGTGAAACAAAATATCGTAGAACAAAAAACCACCATTACCAATTGAGAGCCTAAAATAGAAGAGGAAAATGGACACTCAAAAACATGTTCAAAGTTGTTAATACACAGTAAGCAGCAGCAATAACAGAAGATGAAGTTGACTTGACTAAACAATGGCAAAAGGCATAGTTAATTGACGGTTGTGCATGAAATATAATATGGCACAGTAAGAATAAGTTATTTAATTTCTTTACATTTTGGGTTACAGTCTGATGTCTCAATGTACCTATATTTGGTAATGATCTCCACATAATGATGAATACTAATATAGCAGAGCATGATATTATATATGTAAGCAAACTGATGTGTACATTTTTCTTTCAGTTCTATCTAATAAAGCATAAAGGACAACACCAACAAAAGACATAAAAGAGACAATGGTATCAACCTGACTCTATCAGGATAAATCCAACAAAACATGTTTCAAGATTTGTTAATAATCCGAACAAGCATAAAATGATGAGAGCTATCTGAGCAACACACTACTTATATGCAAAGTTGAATAAGAATGGTATACATGCTATACATCTAAATCAGCACCCTAGCCATACGACACTGAAAGGAGATATATCACCAGAAAGGAAATATGTGCATCAGGTGGCAGAAATAAGAAATGAAAATAATACCTGGTTCATATCTATGGTCTGGACTGCTTCTCCACGAGTGAAAACAATTGCATGGTTTTGGTTCTCAGGCTTTCCTTCTCCAAGTTTCGGATCTCCAGGGAGTTTAATGGAATATATTTCCTAACAAGTATTATGTTCAATAAAATTCAGCTATTCATAGAAAGAGATGATATGAAAATAGACTTGTGAACTCATACGAAGAATTTATAAAAGAATTTTCCATTTAACCCCTTTATCAACATAGTTGTACTAGCACATAAAATGGTTTGTGCATAGTTACTATGCCCCCATTAAAAACATCAACAAAATACACCACATAAAAAGCTCTTGTTTAGGCAAGGTAATGAATGTTACAAGCCTTGTTCAACTTCTCATTCATTAACAGGCCCATGATGTTGCTGCACAGATCAAACCCTTTCCTGACCGCTAACTTGTAGAGCAGACTGCACTTCCCCTTGAAAAAGAATGCTGTATACCCAAAAAAAATATTCACTGGATAAAGCTGCATACCTGGTCTTTTCCATGTATATCAGCTTTTACAAGCTTCGAATAAAACGATTTTACCATCGACCCATCACTTCCAGCACTCTCTTCCACATGTATGAAAGCAACTCGAAGCGCCTCATTCCTGGAAAGAGAACAACCAAAACATATAAACCAAGAGCTCTAGAAAATATCCACCCAACTGCCAGATATCATAGCTTCATGGCCAAAGAGATAAAAGCCTTGCGATGGGGAAAAACTAGGACTCCAACATACATACTAATCCCTTATAATTAAGCAAGTAGCCTGCAAATCAAGTAATAAAAAACATATCTGCACCCCAGATGCAACCGAGAAATGACCCAAACTTTCCTTGCCGTAAGTTACAGGAAAGAATTACAAGCAACGATACGTAAACTGATTCCTGAATTCATTTTGTAATAGAAAAACAAACAACACATAAACAAAGCCATTGTAATAACAAAATACGAGCATTGAGTACCTTTGCAGCAAAAGAGCAATATCAGCAGCCTCTTTGTCCTTTCGTTGTTTTTGTTGTCCATAGATTTGGCATGAAACAACGTATGTGAACTTCAAATCAACTTGTGCTCGAGCTTCACGTGACAATTCAAAGCCTTGCGGTGAAAGGGATGCTTGAGGAATCCCTTCTGTTAATAGAAAACAAAGAAATATAAAACTCAAAGGTTTTGCAGATGCATGCTATCAGCCATATAACCCAAGGAATACCTCCTAATGATCTGCTCTCCAAATAACTTTGAAGCATCAAAGCCCTCCTGTAATACATCATACCACGCACTATATGCCAAAAAATGGTACAAGATAATCAGAAGCGTTATATCACGGGAAAACTCAAGTGGTTCCACATCAACCAGGGAAACGATATATATTCGTTCAAGCTGAATTTAAAACGAGTACTAAGAAATCTGACCAGTCCTAGCTAAGGTCTGTCCTCGATAAGATACCCAAAATCGAAGCTCCAATGCATCAGTCGAGCTTTCTTGGAGTTCCGCATCTCCGGTATTAACACGGCCAATTCGTTCCAAAAAATTCTCCCATTCGTCTGGAATATGGAAAATTGTATTAGCTACAGCTCAAGTAACATATCGTCAAAGAATATATGTATATATAAGGGAAGGTTCAAATAGAAAAGGCAAAAAATAACAAGAACGTAAGAATAAATGATTCATATGTCAATCGTAGGTAACAAGAAACGTGAGTTCACATATGCATCTTTATATGTGAATAATTGGTAAAGACAAAGATAAGCAAACATGGGTTCACATATGCATCTTCAAATGGATTTTTTCCAGGTTTACTAATGATTCACATATAAATCATTTATTCTTACGTTCTTGCCATTTTTGTATTTCTTATTTGAACTTGAACTAATATGTATATATATATATATATCTTATAAATGATTTTTGATACAAGTACAATAGCTAGCTCTATCATCACCAATATTCCTTAACAATGAAAGCAAGGGCAAGACAGCCGAAACCAGTTTATAGATAGATTTGATCCTATAGACATCATATGCAACTTGTGTAGAAGAAAAGCTATAAAAATGATAGCCGTTTCTTGCAAGCATATGTTGCATTCCCCTGTCCTCCAATATAGTCTTTCTTAAATAGCACAAAGATTAAGGATCACCGTATTTATGTTGGCTTTCATAATTTTGTGTGCTTTAGTTATTGTCACACAGTGGCAAAGCTTTTGAATAAACACAAAGCAAACAAAACCGAATGTGCCTAGTATATCCCGCTCAGAAGTAGGGTCTGGGATAAGATGTACGTAGATCTTACCTCTATCCCAAGGGGTAGAGAGGTGGTTTCGTGAAAAACCCCGGCTTCTGAAAAATTTGGGAAAGAAGACTGAGAATCTAAATTAGTGCTGGAGGATTTCTGTAACGTGCAAAGGGTTTAGAAAAAGTAGAAGACATAGATACAAAGGCAAAAACAGAAAAAGGTTAAAACAATTAAGTACTAGAAAGTAGACATAAATTGTACCACATGAAAGTACAAGAAAGACTCACTATTGGATAACCCGCACCTATGGCTCTCCTGACGTTGCCAAAGGCTCCCCCCTAGAGCCTTCGAGACCAAGCTATCGACTCTCAAACCCTACCCCAGTCCCACCCTATACCTCTCCCTCCACCCTCAACTCATCCACAATAACTTACAAACCCCTACTCATAATCTACTACCCTAGTCCTACTTCTCCAAGAACTCCTATCACTGATCATGTGCTCATAAATGTTCAAGACCACCATGTACACCCTCAGTTGCTCCTCCCACGTCGTCCTCAGTTTGCCCCTCCTCACTCCCACGACCATAAGGCTCTCGACCCTCCTCATTGGCACTATTTTGTCTTATGTGAACGTGCCCAAAGCACTGTAACCATCCCCCTCATAAGTTCTTTATGGTAGGGATGCAACTCCCAACTCTGCCCAGAAGACCTCATATGATACCTTCTGCAACATGGTCCAACCATAGATCCATCTCAACATCCTTATTTATGCCACTTCCAACTTCCTCTCTTACTTATTTATTGCCCAACACTTGGACCATACAACATAGCCGATCTGATGCCTACACTGCAGCCATCAACTTCAACCATCCTGCTTTTATGTGGAGTGTAACATTAGCCTCAACCTCACCCTTCTTCTTAACATAGAGCCTAGATACTTGAAACTGTGTTTTTGCATTATCCTTTTTTCAATGGTGACTTCTATCCCCTTGTCATTATCCTTCTGAATAAACACTAGATGTAGCAAATGGACGTGGAAAAAAATGAACAAGGAATTAACTTGCTTCTTCCTCCAAACTTTAGCAGCCTTTCGTAAGTCATTACAACTTATCATCACTAAATATAGAATTTTTCTATTTGTCAAAATTTACATTAACAGCAAACCTCCACTAGCACCATATTGCTTACGTTGTAAATTTGACAAAACACTATGAGATTCAAGGCAGTTGATAATAGCTCCTAACTGCCAGATGAGTAACATACGCTTTTTAATTTGTAGCTAAAGGAATTAAAAGAACAACAATATCAAGAATAGTACATATTCTCCATCGACATTGAACGCAAAAGTTGCAACGTCTCTAATATACATGTAAAAGCCTAGCGAGAATAACAAGAAGAAAATTGTCTTGCACATTGGCAATTAAACAAACAACTAATATCAACATGTAAATATGAACAAACATGAGTACCAGAGCAGGTTAGTGATGCTGTAGGGTTGCTTAATCGAAGAGACAGCAACAGTTACATATTACATGAAGGATTTCAAACGATAATATATAGCAAGACAAAAATAAACTTCATCTGCATACTACAAGATTAAAACAATATACTTCACATTATTTCTTCTTTTGGGGACGATATGATGTTTAGATAAATCATAAGGAGATTGGTATATAACCAAGGAGAACTACCTGGAAAGATTTTCTGAAGATAAAAAATGGTAGATATTCCATCCTCATTTTCTTGCCGCAACTCAGAGGAACTATAAAGTACAGTCTCGCTGTAGTACGGGGTGAAGACACTGTTCTCAAACAAAGCACAAAACAATCAGAGCTATTATCTCAAAGAAAAGGAACAGTTAGCCTTCAAGATCGAAAGACACTTACCAGAATGGCATCATTTCACTAACTGGCTTTGCTGGAGGCATATGCATAAAGAGAGAATTTGTGAAGAACTCTAATCTTCTTCTTGCTTCAAGATTCTTAGGGATATCAGCAGCAGAATCTTTTACTATTAGAAGTAGGTGTAATCGCTTCGCCTGCTCCTTCTGAGGTAAGAGGTTATGCAGTCAAATGAAACTGAAAATATAAATTACCATAGAAAATTCTAAGGAGCTTACAATTTCAGGATCTCTAGGCCATCCAATATTAGAAAATAGGCGTCCTTCATTTCTTGCCCTTGCCAATATATTCCATGTATCAAGCTGCTCCCTGAGAAATTAGAACCCTACTATGATCTCTTATACAAGTAAAGGGTGCATGATTTACCAGTTAGCAAGTGAAATAGGTAAACAGAAAAGGGCATCTGACATCATACCTCAGATCAGATGACAAAAGTTCATGAGTAACCACCTCATATAACTCATATACAGCTTTAGCAGCTCCTTTTGCGAGTTCAGGTGTTTCATTCATGATCTGATACAGCAATTTTGAAGCAAAAATATCACAATTCAGCATGCCAATCTGTTTCTCAAAAAAATCAAAAGGAATGGGGACACCAGTAGGACATGTATATATGTGTCAAGGTAACTACATCAATACACGTGAGGAAAAACTTGGTGCCAAATCTCATAGAAGGGTATGCCCTCCATCTATAGCATCACAGACATGTTGCATCAAGACAGAAGTGACCTACAACACATAGTCACAACAAATATTCTCTGCATTTCACTAATATGCAGTAGTATCTCCAGAACAGGATACAACTCCACGTAGGTCCCAGACTACCATCAGATACAAGGGACTACCACAGGCTGCATAGGATTCTAAATTATAGCAAGCAAAACAATTTGATACTTCTGTCGCTTGACTACACCAATGTGATCTACTTTCATGTGTGCTTGTGTGTACCTCAGTGGGTAAAAATGGGGGAAACTATTTTTCACTTCTCCAATCCAACAAAGTTGGCACAAGTTGTAAACCTAATCAATTCAGACTGGAAACACAACATGATCGACCAGATTTTATGTTTCATTATTTAAAATAGAACAAAAAAAATATAAAAGTATAAATATGCGCACATTTTGCCTTCATTAAAAGTGTGAAGGGAACATAAAAGTTTCAATGTGGGATTTAGTTAGCATAAGATCCAGGCATGGGATTTAGTTAGCATAAGATCCAGGCACTTGTAAATAACTTTCCTATGCTTTCCACTCTTCCTTTCAATCCTCAATTATGCATTTCCATAGAGATAACATCACGTATTGGGATGTTTTTTTTATTAATGCATATGTTAAATTTGAGCAACAGGCTTACACCACCTTTTATAATTATAAAAAAATTACCAGAAGGCCAGTCAATGCTGAAAATCTTGACAGCACCAAAGGAATCTTCTTAAGATTTAAAGTCATGACAAGCGAACCCTCCGACATACTATGGTTGATCTCTCGAAAGATCCTGTCAACCCTGCACGAAAGTAAATAATGTAAATGAAAGGGATGTAACAATATGTATACCATAACACAATAATAGCTCATGGCTACAACCAATCAATCTTAAGATTTAGAACACATAACAATGTCATAAACAACAAAATGAACACATTATTCACTTATACTTGACAAAAGCAAATAAAAACAAACCATAGCTTCCCTTCTCCATCAACTAAAGAATGTAGTATTTTCTCAATACTGTAGTAGCACTCCTGGACAGCATATGCCATATATTCATCCCTGCTAATTCTACTCCAAAGATCTGCTTGAGCATCTTTGCAGTCTATAGCTAAGTCAATCGCCAAATATATCTGATCAGATAGTCCAGGGTCAATACAGAATCGACAAGTGACAAATATATGACTTTATATTAATTATTACAGGTACAGATTTACAGGCTTTACCTTGCTGATTAACAGAAACAAAGGCCACTGAACTAATCCAAGACTTCCAGTGTTGCTTGGCATAGAAAGTAAGTCCATTTCCCTGAACAAGAGTAGCCATTGCAAAATTTAAAGCATGTTAATGAAGTACGCAAGAATGGGAAGGAGACGACTGATCTCTCAAAACAGGAAACCACAATATCGTCACTTGCCTGTTACTGATGTAATCTTCTTCACGAAGACTTTTGATGATCTCATTCCAGAATGGAGAGAACTTGGCTGCATAGGTCTTGTCATTGTCTTCAGAATCCTGCATAATAAAGTTGTACACATAAACAGATAATAAGTGGATAAATAGTTAGGGCCTAATGTAAAGAGGAAGCAATATAAGATTTAACTAGATAAAAGAGAACATAAACATAATAGTCAATAAGGAATAATACTGAACTACAGCAGAGGAACATAAACATAATAGTCAATACATCTCCGTGTGAAAGATCAGCTGTTAAGATTGAAGCAAGAGACATAGGGGACAAGGGCAGAAATTTATAGATGAGTGATGAGATGGGTGTGACGCCGATGCAACACATAACTATATGTTATACACTTACGCTTATAGATTATAAACACATTGAAAACATAAAATATGATATTAAAATTATACAAAAAAAAAACCCTTGAGGCCAGATAGTTAAGTAGGCAAATAAGCATAAACAAACATAAAGATAGACGGTGAATAATAGTTACACTTGGCACACACTATTCACAACAGATGACTTGTTAAGTAATTTTGCATAAAAACAAGAATAGAAAACTATATAAGAAATGGATTGAAAAAGAGTTTGTATAAGAGATACTTTCTTGTCACTTCTTGAATCATCAGAAAAAAGAAAAAGAAGTTGGAAACACAAATTTTATGGCAGAGTTCTCAACATCATCGATGCTCCTGGCACTGCTCTCACTAACGTTACTGTCAATGTAATTATCTTGCCTCTCACCTTGTAAATTCTTGTTAGAGTAAGAAAATTAGAATGAACATTAAGAACTATTAGATATAAGATATGTCAAGAAATGTGCAATGATACCATGTCCATTGTTGGGAAGACCTGTCTCCTACGCAAAGAAGACTAGTCATGGAAGAGGAGCTATGCTGTTAATTGTGCCGCTATAGCAGTGCTATCGCCGTTCACGGAAATGAGAAAAATAGTGGTGGTCAAATAGCAGCCCCCCGATCATAGACGCTATTGACCGCTACATGACCGAATTTTGAATGCAAAAAAGCGGCTCCATAACCACTATTTGTAGATAGGCTATTTTGGTGTTAAGTAATTTTGTGGGCTTTTTTATACTTCCAGTGAGTTTTATTTAGTCCAACAATATTAAGGTTTCTTTATTCTTATTTTTTTGGACTTGGGCACAATTATTCTTATTTTTTTCGATTTGGACACATCACTTTGACCTCTAGCTATGAATAAAAGTATTCACATTGTTCAATTATCATGTTTGGACTTGGACATCATTATTCTTATATATCTTTATTAAATACATATAATATGTTGTTATGCATACATACATACATATATATACATATATATAATTCTAATTATTATATGAACCGCCATTTTTGGACCGCTATACCACCGCTTTACCATCACGATAACCGCTATTTTAAATCACGGTCCTTACCTCGATTTCATATTTTGTCCACTATAACAGCATGGAAGAGGATTATACTCATATACTCAATAACTCAAGAGTTCAAAACAGTAAATGATGCTATAGACATGAATTTAATAAAGATACCATATTATAACATAGCAACCAAAGTAAAGTGCCTCACCTGATATGAGTGTCCAATGATTGGTATCCTGGAGAAAACACAATGTAAGACATGAAATCAGAAGATATTGAAAGATGTTGATGAGCAAAACAACTTAATATTCCTTCCTCATCAGTATGAGCTCTAGTGTCTTCTATCCTTAAGTGAGAACTTCAACAACTAAGATGATACTAAACCAAGCATTGGTGGAACCACATAGCAATATCAGATTCAATAGACAAAACAGAAGTTAAAAAATATCCATGAGCAAGGCAACTAGGTGAAACCACGCATATGAAACTGAAATTTCAGCACATGAAAATCAAAGAAGCATATGGTACATATATACAAGAAGATGCACGGCAGCAAGGATTAATGCACACCAGGCACGGAATATAAAATGATGCAGCATGGTAAACAAAGTTCACAGATGACATCATGTTGATTGATAATGACAGGAAGGATGTTGATGCAAAGATTAAGATGGAAATGCATTACGTTCGATTTGTCTGTATCATTTTCCTCCATTTACCACTCTCAATTGGGGGTGCCATCTTCATACCAAACAAAAGCACATTAACTGCAATTTGTGTGCCATTCATTAGGAAGTGGAATATGTGGTAAGCTTGTCAAGATAGGAAATAGCTAGGAGTGATAATGTCTGCTACATGGGACCAATATTACCAAAGGATGGAGAAATTGACGAGGACGCTTGTCCTGGAGAGGGGTAAGGTGTGTATGTGTCATCCGGAATTTTGGACATTTCTCATATATGGTTCTCAGAGGGGGGATCGCGCCTATCTCAATAAGTCTATGATTGGTTTGAAGAGCGTCTCGAGATTCAGGCGATTATATTGCATTTGTATATCGTTTGATATTTTGGTCTTAAAATGAATTCGGTATCAAGTTACAAAGTTACATCATTGGGAAATGATATCAGGTGGATTTTATGTTAATTCCTAAGAAAGAGGCAATTGGGAGTCAAAATAGTGGTCAATGTGGGTTAACAAGCGGGTTTAGCCGTGCGACAACCCACATTAGGACCTGCATCCGTGGTGCAGGTCGGTTTGTAACTCATTTCTCTCCCACCACCTCCCCTCCTCTTCCTCTCTTGGCGATGTTGGCTCGTTGGGGGCAAATCTTGAAAGGTTTTTGAAGCAAATGTAAGACTATCTTAGAAGATTTATGGTGTTTGATTTCAAGATTTTGGAAGAGGTAAGCTTTTTGGGTGTTTTGAGATCTAGATTGGGTTTTGTTGTAGATCAAATATTGTGGTTGATTCTGATACACCTCTAGACTTGGGTTGAGATTTGGAGAGTTCTTAGAGGAGTTTTTCTTGCTTGTTGGATCTCATGCCTTGATTTTGGAAGCTAAAGATTTGGGTTTGAAATCTAGTTTAACTTAACCTAATAAGGTGAGTTTCAAGTTACTGTGTGAATGTTTGTTTTGAGTTTCCAAATGTGTTCCTTGTGATATTATCAGATGTTAGGATTATTTGGTATGTGAGCATCCTTGGTACATTTGATTTCATAAAACCTTGAAAATGATTATATTTGGGTTTTGAGACATTTTTGGAGATATAGATCACTAAAGTATGATATTTTGAAGGTTGGTTCAAATAAATAAGAATTTTTGGGACATATTCCCATTTTGATAAATGAAAATGCATAAATATGAAGTAAATGTGTTTCTATTGACTTATGTTGACTTTCATGGAGTAGTCAAGTAAGTTGGAGGCTTTATTGGTTTCAATATCGGTAAAATGTGTTTTGGGATTTTGTTCCACAAAAATGGTTCAATGGTGATATTTGAACGTGTTTTGCGTACATTGCATATTTACTTGAGATTACACGTTTTTTAGTGTGTTGATCATTCAAATTGGGTCATGTAATTTGGAGTTGTATTGCGATGGATCCATAGGCATATGAGTCGGTCGTATTTGGCATGTGTGGAGTCCTGCCTTTGTTGGATCGTAATGATCCTTTTTGGTATGTGTGCTAAATAGTATGGTATTCACGGTGTTGGGCACTTTATACACATAGTGTTATGTATATGAGAGGTGAATACTTATGGAGTTATTATTAGCATGTTCAAATTGAACATTATGAGTTTTGTATACTTGTTGATATTAACTCAATGTTGAAAGGGGTTGTCAATGGCCAGAGGGCAAACAAAGTGAGTTTCTGGCGATAGGAAACTCTAAAAAGTAGGCACAAAGATTATTGAGTCTTCAGGTGCTATTCGGAGGGGTAGGCACTAAGACGGATGAGCCTTAAGGTGCTACCCGGATGAGTAGGCACTAAGGACATGAGCCTTGAGGTGAAACTCGAATGAGTAGGCACTAAGGTCAATTGAATCTTAAGGTGCTACTTCATAACGTAAATGTAAGGCTTACTGTGTGTTTGCCACAATGATGGAAACAGGTCTCCCTGTCAGCGAAGGGTGTTGTATTGGAGGAGTGTAGTCCAACAGTTGTCGTTTTGGATATAGTCTTACCCATATTTTGGTGTTTTGGATAATGTTGTTTTATCCATGTTTTGGTATTTGAATATTAAGAAGTATTCACGTTTGAGTGAGTATTAGGTTTTGGTTTCATATCCAAAAGGGTGTTTTATATATGGAGTTTTCATCATGGAAATGGTGGGTTTTGGGAAAAATGTTGCTTTTACAATAAATACATTTCGTTTTTGGGAAATTGCAGTTTTACTATTTAATATATTTGGGATGAAAATTGCTTAAGCTCCCTAGGCTTTAAACCTAACATTTTTTCTTGTCGACATGTGCATCGGGTCCCGGTGGGGGAGTTGCAACCAATACTTGAGATGAGTTGAGTCGTAGATAGTTAGAGGCACATAAACAACTAAACTCTTTGGGACATTTAGATAGCGATTGTTATGCAGGTTTCAGTGACAATTGTTCTTAACCTAAATCTTGTGTAAGATTCCGCTTCGAAAGTTGATTATAACCCTTTATATATGATGTTGAAGTATCCTATGTTATCCACTGGGGAGAAAATTGTTCTATTTGTAGTGTTTATTAAAAGTTTTAAATTAGTCACTCTTTTCCAGAATTGGGGTGTTATAGTATAAAGCGGCGACAACTAACAAGCTTCAAGATCTTATGTGATTTGGGAGTTCCGGTTAAAGAAAAGGTAAGTTCCATTGAAGTTCCACTGATTTTTAGGCCACCAAACGACATCAAGCAGACAAGATAAGTAGCAAAAATATGACTGTTGAGGTGGATGTGTTAACCACACAATGAAGGATACAAGTAGAATGAATAAGATTGAGTAGAATGTTGAGGTGGATTAGTCAAGGAGAAGTTCATGCAACATCAATTGAGATCGTTGACATGTAAAGAAAGTGATAAACAAGATTAAAATAGAGGAATTAGTGAATACTGAAGAGAGACCAATTGACAAAATGTACCAAGAGAATCAATCTTAAAAGGTAGTGTGCCTAATGATAATATCTATGTGGGCCTTAGAAATTTTTGAGGGCATGACCTCTAATAGGAATACACTAGATGTCGAAACCTGTAATTAGCATGTTGGCAGACGGGAGTCCAAGAGGTTGATGATAGAGGGCTAGCAGTTTAGGCTACGATTCCATTTTTGCCTTGCTTGTTTTGTGTGTGTTATGCCTTACTTCCTCTCCCTGTATTTCACCTTACCTTACCTTGTGTATGTTTTCAATCTACCAACTCGTTATCTTTTTTCTTATTTTTCTCATTCTATGTTCACCAAATGTGCTAGTCTCTATCCATTTTACCTGTTTTTCACACTTGCACAAACCAGGGTCTTCACAGACTCGGTCTTTCTACTCTTTGGAGTAGAGGGCATGTCTACATACATCCCCCCCCCCCAAAAAAAGACCCTACTTTCCGAGTGGGATTTACTGGGTCAATTTGGTTTGGTTTTTTTTTCCTCTCCTCTTCGACAAAAGTCTTTTAGTATGGTGCTCAACAACTATCAGCAATTAATGGTAAAGGAGAAATCATGGCAAGTACAGGTTTGGACATTAAAGGGGAATGCATGTAGGTGGTTCATCCACTGTCAGGTTGTAATTCTTTTTATGATCTAATAAAAAATTCCAGAGTTGCCACCCTCCTTCTAAGTTTACCGTTAGGAATGTGGAAATCCACTGGCCAATAGAAGTGGACTTTACTTATTTAGGAAGCCCTCTTTTTTTAAGACAAATTGGTTCTGTGAAAAAACTTTCAGAAGGACACGTAAACACTTGCATTTACTTTTCTTTGCTCTTAAAATTGTTTAGATATTTCTGTTTATCTTCTCTTGCAATTGTCTTATTTATGTTGCTGTTCGTTATCTGTTTTGTTAACATATTGCTATAGCATCATCTTAATGAAGCTTACATTCTGCTCATATCTTTATGTACTTGAGGAATGGGTGAAAATGCCTTGTTCTTGGGCAAAAACAAACCCAAAATTGCAAACATGCAGTGGTGGGTCGCTATATTGGTTTACTCATCCGGTTCATTCAAGTTAACACTGCTTTAAAGTGCTTGAATTGTGCTTAAGAGTCAGGAATGAACTAAACATAAACAACATTAACTCAAATGAAGTAAGATTTTAGAAAATCTTGGATGCAAAGATATGAACATGTATGTTCTTGTCTAGTAGACAAATCAACCAGCAATACCATGGCTTGAGATAATCTTTGCACAGAAATATGAGATGTTATGCAAGTTGAGTGTCATCCAGAACTTGGATCAGTTCTTCACAATAAGCGCAAGCAGGATGGAGATACGCTACCGGATGCTACAAACATTACATTGTTGCACGATAATGCGACCACCTCTGTCGTAAATAATTCTAGAAGACTTCATAACCATGTTTTAGGCTTCATTTCTAAGGGGGTGTTCGATAAGTGGTATTAAGCAGTAATTAATAGGAATAAAAATAAAAGAAATTGTTTGATTTTTTATAACTGTTAAGATACTCAATATCATTGTATAATAGGAATTGGAGATTATAGGTAATATCTCCTTGTAATTTGCTGCTGTGAATATCTTAGGTATCCTTTCCTTTTCTTCTCATATTCTTTGTGTATATATAGCCTTTGTACCTCCCTCTTTTGAAACAAGTGAAATAAACAAAGAATTCTACATGGTATCAAAGCTCGGTTTCGTAACAATCACGAATCGAAAATTTTTGGTACGTGTTTTTTCTTTAGATCGAAATTTTTGTTCATCGTTTTTTTCTTGATTGACAAGTTTCCTTGGGTAGGAAGTTTTCTGCTCGTCGGTTTCTTTGGCACCCTGTGAGTGCGATTATCCTCATCTCTATTCGTCGGCTATTTGGCACCTTGTGAGTGCATCGTTCGCTTTCTGGTTTGCTATCCTTCGTCCTAATTCTACGTTCTCTCTTCTAGTTCGTGATTTATTGGAAGATGACTTGAGAAGACAAAACATCTGACAGTAACAGTAGTTTACGTGTACCCGAGATGCTTCCAGTAAATGATAAGCTCACCGACAACAAGCTTAATGGCTCCAACTACTTTGATTGGAGCAACACTATTCATATCTATCTCCGAAGCATGAAAATGGCTTCTCATCTCACATCCGATCCTCCTAAAGGTAACGGTTCTGAATCGTGGTTCCAAAGTGATGCTCGTTTGTACTTGCAAATTATCAATACTATTGAGCCTTCTGTTTCGAATCTGGTTAGTCACTGTGAATATGTGAAGGAACTTATGGATTATCTTGATTTTTTGTATTCTGGACAAAGTAACATCTTTCGAATCTATTGTGTTTGTAAGTCCTTTCATCGTGGAGAACAACAGGACCGATCACTCAGTATGTATGTCATGGAGTTCAAGAAAGTGTATGAGGAGCTTAACTCTCTTCTTCCATTAAGTGCTGATGTCAAAGCAGTGCAGACTCAGAGGGAACAAGTGGTTGTTATCAGTTTCTTGACTGGTTTGCGACCAGAATTTGACTCTATCAGATCTCAGTGCTTGAATGAACCTGCTATTCCTTCTCTTTAAGAAACATTTGCTCGTGTTCTTAGGAATAAGAATCTTCAGGCTTCTCAAACTTCTGATCACAACAGTGCTCTGGTTGGTCGAGGGGGATTTTCGTGGTGGCTACCGAGGAGGATTTCGTGGGGGTCACCATGGTGGCTCTAGAGGTGGCCACAGTGACCGAACAACTTAATCATGGGCTACTATTCCAGATCCTGATGATGCCATGAGTTAGGTCACACCAAGCGCACTTCTAAGAAGCTTTTGGCCAGACATCTGAGGAGTTCATCAGCGCACGTTGCCTCTGCCTCAGATAGTATTGTTACTATACTCGCAAAAGAATACGCTCGACTTTTAGGGACTGAATATTCCATTTCCCGGACTGCAGCATTAGTACATGCTTATTATCTTCTGCGTCCAAATGGGTCATTGATTCAGGTGCTTCAGATCATATAACAGGTAATCCCACAATCTTCTCTAATTTCAATAAACACAAATCCCCTTCACATGTCACAATTGTTCATGGGTCTACCACACCTGTCCTTGGTTCTGGCACCATCAATCTTACCCTGTCTGTTTCGTTATCTTCCGTATTGAGCCTATCTAATTTCTCGTTCAATTTGTTATCAGTAAACAAAATTACCCGTGCTTTAAATTGTTCTCATTCTTTCCTTATTTTTTTGTCTTTCAAGATCTGTCGATGAAGAGGATTATTGGTAGAACGCAGGAGACTGATGGCCTATACATATTTTAACATCAAGTACCTTCCTCATTGACTTGTTCCAGCTCATCGTCTCCACTTGAAGTTCATTGTCGATTAAGTCATCCATTTTTGTTCACTCTATGCTGAGATTAAAACCCAATTTAAAGTCTCCATTCAAACTCTTCGTAGTGATAATGCAAAAGAATATTTGTCCCAAAATTTCAGTCATATATGATTCAAAATGGCATTCTTCATGAGTCTTCCTGTGTTGACACACCAGCCCAAAATGGGGTTGCGCAACGAAAGAATCGTCATCTCCTAGAGGTGGCTCGGGCTCTATTATATCACATGATTGTTCCTAAAGTCTTCTGGCCTGATGCGGAATGCCTTCCGCGGTCTTTGATGGTAAAAGTCCTTTCTCAGTTCTGTTTCCTACAAAATCATTGTTTCCTGTCGACCCAAAGATCTTTGGTAGTTTCTCTTTTGTCCGCATACCCGACCTCACATAACTAAGTTGGATCCAAAGTCTCTGAAATGTGTTTTTCTTGGTTACTCTCGACTTCAAAAAGGGTATTAAGTGTTTTTCCCCCATTCTTAATTGATACACTGTATCACGAGACGTTACATTCCATGAGAATATACCCTTCTTTCCTATGCCCACTCCTTGCAACCCAAGAGATAGTGATGATTTATTGGTGTATACCATACCTGTTCTTGAGTCTACTACCCCATCCGACTCGACACAAACCCAAGAGCCTACTAAACCACCGATAGTTCATGTATATAATAAGCGGCAACAACCTACATCAGATCCCGACCCAACACCATCATCATCATCGTCTACAGATCCGCCTAATGATGATCCTCTTGCTTCGAGTGATCCACCACCTTCCGATACACACGTTCTTGATCTTGATGTTCTGATTGCTCTTCGGAAAGGTAAGCGCTCATGTACTTATCCTATTTCTTCTGTTGTTTCCTATGATAAACTTTCTTCACGCTCTCGTTCTTTGATCTCTACACTTGATTCTTTATTTGTTCCTAAAACGGTTGGCGAAGCTTTGGCCCATCCTGGATGGCGGGATGCTATGATTGATGAGACGAATGCTCTCGATCATAATGATACATGGGATTTGGAAGAGTTGCCTACAGGCAAAAAGGCAATTGGCTGCAAATGGGTATTCAGTATTCACTGTGAAAGTCAATCCAGATGGATCTGTGGCTCGTCTAAAAGCCCGATTGGTAGCCAAAGAATATACTCAGACTTATGGGGTCGACTACCACGAGACATTTTCTCCTGTGGCTAAGGTACCCTCCATCCACCTCTTTGTTTCATTAGTCGCCACTTACGACTGGGTACTACACCAACTGGATGTGAAAAACGCCTTCTTGCATAGTGATTTACATGAGGAAGTCTATATGAAGCAACCACCTATTTCTTACTCAAGGGCAGTCTGGTAGGGTCTGTAAACTGCATAAATCATTGTATGGTTTAAACCAATCCCCTCGTGCTTGGTTTGGACAGTTTAATGCCAAAGTGACTGAGTTTGGCTTACGGAGGAGCTCTTATGATCATTTTGTGTTCTTTACTTCGTCATCTTCCGGATGTATTCTACTAGTGGTATATGTTGATGACATTGTGATTACTGGAGTGATGATATTGGGATCAAAAACCTAAAAGATTTCCTTGCATCTCGGTTTCAAACAAAGGACCTAGGCCCTATAAAATACTTCATGGGAATTGAAGTATCTCGTACTCGGAAAAGGATATGTTTGTCTCAATGAAAATATTGTTCGGATATATTGAATGACTCTGGTATGATTTAAACAAAACCTTGTGAGGCCCCAATGATTCCAAATACGAAATTGAAAGTAGACGATGGAGATCTACTTGAGGATCTAGAAAAAAAACAGAAGAATCGTGGGAAAGCTAAACTACCTGACGATTACACGTCCTGACATCGCTTTTCCGGTGAGTGTAGTAAGTCAGTTTATGTCATCTCCGAAAACTCCACATTGGGACGCTGTTACGCATATACTGAAGTGCCTAAAGGGTGCTCCTAGTCTTGGTATCCTTTATCAAAATCACGGTCATCAAGTCATAGAAGGGTTCACAGATGCCGACTATAATGGGATCCTACTACTAGGCAATCTACGACAGGCTATTGCATGTTGGTTGGAGGGAATCTAGTTTCGTGGAAAAGCAAGAAACAGAATGTCATTTCCCGGTCAAGTGTTGAATCTGAAAACAGGGCTATGGCCCAAACCACTTGCGAGCTGATATGGTTGCGTAATTTGCTAGGTGAAATTGGGTTTTCTCAATCTAAACCAATGAACCTATATTATGATAATGAGGCGGCTATCCACATTGCAAATAATCCTGTGTTTCATGAAAGAACAAAACACATCGAGGTTGACTGCCATTTCACTCGTGAAAAGCTAGAAGATAGAATCATCTCAACTCCCTTTATTCGAACAGGAAGACAACTTGTTGATGTCTTTACCAAAGCATTACCTAGTTCGCAAATCTCTTTTATTTGTAACAAGTTGGGCATGATTAACATCCATGCTCCAGTTTGAGGACGAGTGTTAAGATACTCAATATCCTTGAAAATGCTCAATATCCTTGAAGATACTCGATAATAGGAATTGGAGATTATGGGTAATATTTCCTGTAATTTGCTATTGTGAAAATCTTAGTAATCCTGTCCTTTTCTTCTCATATTATGTGTATATATAGCCTTTGTACCTCCCTCTTTTGAAACAAGTGAAATAAACAAAGAATTCTACAATAATATAATGGGTCCATTCTCCCAAAAGCACAAACTTTCATTCCAGGTTAAATTAAGGGGAATGAAAATTCATTCCTATCTTCATTCCCTGTCATTTTTCATTTTCCTACCCATTTTCATTCCTCTGCCTAAACAAAACGCCCCCCAAGTCAACCATATAAACTAAACCAAGCCAAAAAAATTATTCTTCAAACTCACGATCATGAGTCATGTGTTTTATTTCTTCTTGTTTCCAGAAAAAGTGTTTTGAAGTATAAACCCATGTGGATAATATCTGGTGTGTTTAACATTATTTACTTGTTAAATACGATAGTATAAGTGTATACTTTTGCAAGCTTAATACTGATTTTTGTGTCGACAAACGTCTTGAGATCATAAATCTCACAGCACCGCTACATACTCATCTACCATTAAGAGATGTCAATTATGGAAATCTCATAACAAGTAGACACCAACCTGTTAGCTTGTACAGACAAAAGTTGCTTAACAAAGGCCTTTGGGAAGCTCTCAAACCGTTTCCGTACCATCTCAATTGATCGAATCTACACAAAACATGCGTTTGTATTTATTTTGAACAAAGCACAAGTACTTATTGTATAAAAAGATGTAACCCTTTTGAGACTAAATAGACTATAATAGTTGCAAAAACCTATAAACAAGGAGAATCCAAATTGTACGAAAAGTCGAAGTAGAATATTAATACCTCGCCTAATCTCCCCCGTGCACCCATTACACCACCGACTATTGCCGACAGAAGAGTGTACCATATATGAATATCCATAATATAGATCTGAAGATTCAAAAAGAATTAACATTAACAAACACTAAAGGAACAGAAAGGCATTTGTATGACCAATACAAATATACAATATAATAGAACTCAAGTTCCGTTAAAAAGCAAAGTCCTTCTATTCACTATGTCATACATGTAAGAGAAGTGAAAAATATTTGAATCTCGAGGTCTCAAATTATTAAAGAAAAAGCTTGTCCAAATAACAATTGTTTTTATAAGCTACTTGCAAGGAGCGGGAAAGAGAAATACTCACAGCCACTATAGGAGCCCATATGCTAACTAAGGTGAGAACATTATTATTATCTGCAAAGGCAAAGGACAAATACAAAGTAAGCATGGGAAAATACATGTCCTTGATGAAAATGGGAATCATATACCATTCAATAATCTCAACAACACACATGCATGGCAAGAAAATTTGAAGTCCGAGGAAAGTTCAACACAAATACTTCATATGTTCAAATTCATCAATGCGTTAGTGATTCTTCAAAGAGTAAAGTAATGTCACAAAGCATAAAAAGATGAAAACAAGGATAGATTCACAAGTGGAACAAATAACAAGTAATAAGAATCTATAATAGAAGAAGTGCAGAACAACAGTGGGTTTGGTTTGGTTTGGTTTAGTTTGGTTTGGTTTGGTTTGGTTCGGTTCGGTTTGGAAAAAGACGACTGGTGCACATGACCTTAGTCAATACAAAGTGCAAGAAGCAGCAAGCGGGCTCCTTCTCTAGCCAACAGGTTTATGTATATTTTGTAATATGAATATATTAGGTTCTGGTGGTTGCTATTCGGTGAAGTAAGAGGATGCAGGAAAGTAAGAGATACAGGAAGCAGTTAGGTGGCAAAGAAAGTCATCAGGTTGGTAAGCAAGCCGCTTTGGTGTCAAGCTAAGTCCCCAGTAAAGACAATCATAACATGCACTCGATCTTGAAAAGTAAATTGCATGTAGGATAAGAAAGTGCCAAGTGCCCACAGATGAAAGAATCACTAAGAAAATCATCTCATGTCCATCTAACAAATCAAATCAGATGAAATAGCCTTTAGTTTGTTATAATAAACCACTTTGAAATAATAAAGTCCCTCTTTGGGGACCATGGAGATTGTCATTTGGAAGCAAAGAATAATGGGTCTATTTGAATTTAAAGAATCTTATGTAGCCATTCTATCTGGCCTTACCTTCCAAATTAATAGTAACGAAGGTGACGGATTAATATTAATGGCTCTGCCACTGTGAGCTCTCAAGCCTTATTCTTGATTTACCTTGATCTATGTCCTCATCTCAGCTTGTGTGCATTTTGGTTATAACTTACAAACTTCAGATGTGTTCAACTGTTAGTTTAATTTAATAGTACTTCTAGTTTAACTACAATTTAGTTAAACAAAAATTCCAATTTTGTGCTAGTTTGAAGTTATTTTCGTGCTCAATTATGTAACATAATTTCTGCCTCTGTTGCATTTGTCTCTATATTCAACTATGTTACTAGAATGTTTAGATCAGGTTTGTTTTGGCTACCACACAACTATAAGATGTAAATAGTTTAACTTGCAAACATTTTGGAAAATATTACTTTAAGCCGGTCCCAGCACACATATTTCTGGTTCTGCCACTGGGGATAAGGGCATAACACGCATGCTTTTCCCCAGCAAGCAGACCATTTCAGCATATGCCAAACAGAAAGAAAAAAAACAAGGAAAGGAAAACAAAGAGAAGATATGATGCTTATCATCAGCCCAGCCACCGCAAAATTTAGACAAGGCCAGACCAGATGTGAGCCACTTTAGCATTAGCAGGAAGCCATTTACATAATATAAACCCAAATTGAGAGACCTAAACCTATGGAACACAACCTCAGGGAACATCGTAGCAGTTTTATCACAAAGTTTCTAACTAGTACGAGGGCCTTCAGAACAACTCTTTCTCTTAAGATATAAGGTTTTTAACATTAGTCGGCAGACTGCTTACTTACTAATTTATCAATAGAATAGGACAAACTTGATTCTTTATAGAACCCCATATCCGATGGCCTCGTAGTAAATCGTATGCAGGAACATACACCCAATTTCCACATGACAAGTGATTACATACCTGAAGAGTCTATCATCCTAAAGCCACCCGCAATGGCTTCACCAAGAATAAAAATACAAACACATATAATAAAATAAAAATCATGGAGAAAGTTTAGGATGAGAAAGAAAATGAACATGGACTGTAGAAAAAGGCAACTTTAAACAGAAAACATCCTACAGTTTGAACTTCAAAGACAAACCTACTTTGCTCAAAGTTTGCCTTGATAGCCTAGTGTGTTAAATTGCAAGCATGAATAGGAGAAAGAACGCAAATACTTATAGTCTCACATAATAAGAGCAGAGCAAGAATATACTTGAAACAGAGACTAACGGGAATGGAACTCTATGAGATCGAATCTCCCGCAACAGTAGTACTAACGAAAAAACTATCGATCTACAAATTGCATTCAGTAGTCCCATTCTCTAATTTACGCGAAAGAACTGAAGCTAACCATTATTTAGACAAAGCAAAGAGAGGTTTAGGGTAAGAAAAGGATAGACAAGAAAATTTCTTCCTTCGTCAAATAATGAATGAAAGCTCAAAAAGAAGGGGGAAAGATGTTTTTTTCTTATAACATAAACTTTTTAACTATACAACAACTGAATGAAGTTAAACCTCTTTCTTCATGTGCAGGAAAAATTAATGGTGGAGTAATATCCTGAGATGCACAGTATTGGAAGAATGATAACTCAGAGTGGGAAATAGATAGACACTAAGGTTGTTTGTTTTTTAAGTGTAGAAAACTGAAATCTGAGAACCCATCTGAAAATTAAGAGACGGCGTCTAAACAGTGAAGACTGAACCATTCAAATTGTTTAGGAAGTGATTCAAATAAAATGGAAGTAGAAGCTCTATTAGGAGTACAAAATTTACAGCAGATTCAAGAAGTGATCTAAGAATAAATAAAAACAAGTGAAATAAGGAGATGATTCAACACTTACTCTTAGATACAAAATCATGCCACGAATATTGCAGTGACGGAAGGTTCTCGATAATGTTGGTGGGATCAACTAATGGTTTGATCTGGACACATAAAAATAGACATTGTGATGGGCCTGTAACTTATAATATATAATGACAATCTAAAATGATGACTGCTCAAATGAAACACCGCCAAAACAAGAAAAATTATGCATCACAACTTGCCTGAAGGAAGTAGGCGAAAGTGAACTTGCAAGCAAAGATCACCAACCAGTACAGCACATACCTGCAAATATTAAGTACAAAGATTATGGAGTTTCTAGTTTTACACAGAAAAAATACTGATCACTTTCACATTAAGCACTCCTGAAGAAATGAAAGGATGAAAAATTAGAAGAAAGTGAGTTAAAGAAGTTGTATGAAGGATAAAGAAGAAAGCAAAGCCTTTTCCCAGCTCTGAGAAGATATGGATGACACTTGATGGTCTATTGATCACACTTGCATCAGAATTGCTTTTGAACAACATGCAACCACATGGTCTTGCCAACAATGGCAAAAAGCTACCTCAGGAAACAGCTAGCCACAATGAAGAGAGATGGGGATAGAAAGCAAGGGTGGAGAGCTAAACAAAATGCTCTCATAGCTAATCAGTAAGAGACGGATATTATAATGCCATCCACCCTTAAAAATACCATAAACATAGATTATTCAATATTAGGTTAGTTATGGAAAAGTAAGCCCAACGGAACAAAGAATGTGCTTTGTTTGATACTGGTCGGAGATATGGTTGTCTAGCTTTCAATGAAATACCTAGTTCAAAAAATTGAATTGTGGAAAAAGAAATAAAAAAACAAAACAAAAACAGCAGCTCTACTTCTGCTATTCGATGTAAATAGTAGCTCTATAGAGTAACATAAAATGTACAAACAAAAGCAGAGATCAAAATATATATAGTAATTAACACCAGATTTATGTGGAAACCCTTGTGGGAAAATACCAAGAGAAGAAAATAATTCACTGTGAAATCAGAAATAAAGAATGTAGAGAAAAGCCACTAAAAACCCTACCAACGGTAACTGCTCTATAAAGTGGTTTGAATAAAATTTTATGTTGGATGGGTTATAAGTTGGGATCCTATCTTGAAATATATATGTAACAAAACTCTTGGGCCATATTGGTACATTGCAAGCTCTAGCTAGTTCTTCATGCTAATTTAGGATAAAAGCAGCTACATATCAAGGGATGATGGCACTAATAAAGCATGTATATGTCATTAGAAGGTCAGAGAAGGAACCAAACCTTATGTAATCCATGGGTCTCTCATAAAGACCACGGCCAACAAAATACCTCTCCTGGAAGACCAAAATTTTAAAAAACTAAGAATTCAAAGATACTTTTCTCATTCCAGAACTGTAAATTGTAGGCCATGAAGGAAAAGTACCTCGTAAATCCACTTAAAGAATTGGAAGAACGGTTGATCAGACTTTTCAGATAAAGAATGGCAGAATGGGAGTTTTAGCAGTAAGGCAAAAACTATGCGTACACCAGCATAAACGCCCACAACAAGCAGATATATTCGAAAGTACACTGAATTTGAGGTATTGTCATTTCTCTCCTGCAAAACTTTTCTGGAAAATTCATTGTTCACAATGAAAGCAGTCAGTCTAGAAGCGCAGAGAATGATATTAGAGGACAGATGATTATAGACTTACACATATACATATGTTATAAATACTGAGCTCAATGCACCCCAGAAGAACCTAATAACCAGCCTTGAAATTGCCATGCCTCTTGCTGTGCTGTAAGCCCCAAACATCAAGAGTACATCCAAGCAACCTATGTAAGGAGCAGATTACATGAAAAACAGAAGCAAAAGAGAAGACTGGGAAAGGCATGTCAAAGAAACTAACAACAGAAGTAACCGCTCACATTCCACAAACTTCATGATAGCATATGTTGGACCAATGCTAAGCAATGTTTTAAAAGTATCAAGGTTTAGTTTTCCATCATTGAATGCTATAATCGTCAATCCCTGAAAGAACATGAAGAAAGATTAATAACCAATATCAGCTTACCGTGCTAAAAGATATTATCACAAGATAAAAGAACAGTTTATGAGTAATTACCTGGAACATGACTACTAAGAAGATCCACATACGATGAAAACTGCGATACAAGTGAAGGAACGTCCGATGCTCAACAAAAGTGCTTTTCCCAGTCTGATGTTTTGAAAAGAACTTAGAAAATGAATGGCCACATAAAACCAGATCACAATATGAAAGACTGATGAAAAAAATGACTTCACCCTCATAACTTCCCTCACCCTAACAATCCTAAGTGCAGAACTAAAAGGATGCAAAAGGCGGTAGAACCCAGATAAGAATTGGTCATGCATGCTGCATCCATATGGTTGATAATCGAGTGTGATATAACATACTAATAAATATGTTCAACCACACTACAACAAAATGGGTCGTTTAAGAAACCCAACCATCCCTCGGCATCCTAATAAACTACTTAATGGGATTTGTAGGACCAAAAACGATGTCGTGTCTAAAGGCATTACAGTAAACTGTTAGGGAGAAGTTAGGCATATTAGCCTTTTTATAGGACACTAAAGAAGTCTATATAAAGGCTAATATGACGATTTATTTTGTGTCCTATTATGTCGCCTTACTTTTTCCAGAGAAGTTGTTAGGTCACCTAACTTGGCCTGATAACTTATTGTAAAGCCTTTAGATATGACGCACAGTTCTTGGTCCTACAAACTTAAAGCACCAACGAGTACTCTATTAGGACACTTGGGCATTCCTAAAAGACCCATTTTGTTGTAGTGCCAGCATCCAACCAAACAAGCTCAAAGAAGCCACATTAGCTCCTCTCATGTTTTTAAATTTAATGGCAATTGCAGACTTGATTTTGCACTGCCGTGAATGTTTCACAAACACACTATGCTGACATACAAGGCGTGCCTATCCTTTTTTATGGTTATTCAGATAATAACAGAAGCTTAACCTCTATTTTGGGACCACTTATAAAAATGACACTTTACCAAACATCTACCAGCTCAAAAAAGTCATGTTAATGCTTCTGACAAAATAAAAAGGCAAGAGGCTTAAATCTGACGGAACCTGGAACGATATTTACAAATTTTGCACACAGTTAAAATGTCAGAAGATGGATAGCTACAAATGAATAATGGCCTACCCTTTTTGCTGGTTTGGGTATTCGCAGAAATGGTGATGTGTCCTTCATAGGCCAGCTCAACTCAAAGCAGGCAGGTGACCTATCATATATTAAATATAAGCCCAAAAAGTATACTAAAATAAGAGTAATTTCTCACAAAAACCTACCAGAAATATTCATTGAAATCATCATAATTCCGCCATGATGAGTGGGCAGCTTTTCCATTATTGTTTCTTCCGGCTTCCTGTTGAAAAGGTAAGATTTGCACTAAATTCAGTAATGAAGTAGAATGACGCACGGCAGCAGCAACCATAAATATATTGATTGATCTGTGATTAGAGAAAGAACAGGAACTATGTTGTATATCGTAGATATTGAAAAATCATTAACCAGTGACCATTATTTTGCTCTATCAAACATTTAAATATGTGAATGTGACAATGTAATAACCAACTCATTAAACAACATCATACCAAATCCATTTATAAACATAAGAAGGGAAGAGATCCCCTGACCTTAGCCAGTGTGTTGTAAATGGGTTGAATGATTTGATTCAGAAAGGACACTGTATTATTCTCGCCAACACAACTAGGAGCATGGCCAGCTTCTCCACGATCCAAAATAGCATCCAACTCCCTGGCCATCTAGGTAATATAAATATTGATTAGTTAAGACAATCATAACAGGCACACAGCTCAATAGGCATTATATCATGGTAGAGTCTACTGTACATAATAATGCAAACAAGGGTGCATCGACAAATAAAAGGCCTTCAACTTTATACTACAAACTCTTATTTCAATCTCTTCATGATGCATTTACTATGATTTTACCAGATTTATAGTCATGCACCCTGCTTAAAACAAACTTACACTGATGGGTCATGGTAACCTACTAGCACTATAAGAGGCTACCAGATTGTGTACACTGTTGATTGATGGGACAGCCTGGATACCATATTTGACACTCCACATTGAAGGTGAAGTTATGTTTGAGTATTTCATTTTGTAAATTTGCTTCTCACACTCGCAGAGAATGACTTGGCAGCAAAATCAATGATTCATAAGTTATCCAACGAGAATACGACGTAAAAAAACGTCTGATAGATTGGAAGTAGTAAAATTAACACCATAAGTTGTAAAAATTTCAAGACTCGGCAGCAAAATCAATAATTCGTAAGTTATCCAACGAGAATTACAAAGTAAAAAAACGTCGACAGATCGGAAGTAGTAAAATAAACACCATAAGTTGTAAAAATCTCAAAAAGGTGTCGAGGTCTGGAACATGTTTCAGTCAAGAACCAAACTGCTGAAAAACAAACCAAGTTGGCAACCTTCAGACTGGTTCCCAGTTTCTAGGTTTTCTTGGTTCTAATTCTGGACCAAGCACATACCATGCATGGACCTTGTGAAACAGAGTCTCCATTATGTTCAAAAATTTCTCAAATGTAGCATGGTGAATGTAACAAAGCACTAGGTCAAGGAATTGATCAACCAATAGAGACAAATGGCTTACATTGTGGAATATGTAGCAAATGCATTCTGGAAGAAAGCGGACATTTGCAGCTTCACCCCAGATTAAGAAGTACAATGAAACCAAGAAAAGCTTTCTGTCCTTATTAATAGCTTGCAACCTGTTGAAAATAAATTTCACATTGAAATTAGTATAGCATAAGATGCAATGAACATAAAAAGTAATACCAGGGCATGGAAGTCACCTATTCCAAACAACGCGTCTACGCAGATATTTGCACCATTTGATGTAGTTATCAAGAACCTTCAGAAAGACTTCCGTAATAGCTATCTCATCTATTTTCTAAGAAAATTATGAATTATCCATTAGCCACATTCTATTAATGATGCAAAATCTGATTATAACAAAGCAAACACCTTGGAGAAATAGTTAAAGAGAAAATTATGGAAATGCAACAGCTAAGGTTCGAAATTGAGACAGCGATGGCTAGGGTTTCGACAAGTGGCGGCTAGATTTTTGACAGGAAGGTGATGTATATGAACGCATAGCCATATATCTTAAGGTGACTATTTCCAAACAAACCAAACTCTTGACTTATGATCAACTAGCGAATAATCAGCCATGAACTGAAAAGTGTCCAGCTGAATCCTCCCAGACCTCTATCACTCTGAACTGCTTTGGGTTCACATCTTCTACAGAGAACTGAGAAATGGGTTGCAAATATTATTGAACACTTCAGAAGAAGCTACTATGACTGGGACATAGACCATGTAGATATGATTTCATATTACCTTATAGACAAGGTTTTCCTCATGTTCTATTATATCCTGTGGTGCAAACATTGACTGGTGTGAGATGGTTATCCACCCATTCCTTATACATAACTGGTGTCCTAGAGCATGACATGGATAAAAGCACACTGAATTGAAATTGTCGGTAGGTTGCTTTTCGATGAACAAATTGAATAGTTTCCAGACTTTCGAGAGGTCTGGAATCTCTCCTCTTGAGCTTACGCTCTCTCAACAGTTTTTACAAGAATGAAAACAGAATGCCGCTACCAACTACCAGCTACAACTATTTATCTAAACACTTTCTTATTCAGGAAAAGGGAAAATACCAAACTACCCCTCACTTATTCTTATTAAAGCAGAGACAAATAATACTCACTAATTCCTTCTTCTATAAGTAAACCTCAAAGGAGGTTTATCATAATCTTGACAATAAGTCCCCAAAAATCATTTTACGTTGGAAAAACTCGAGCAGTCCAATCCTTAAAGTTCCTACAACATCTAACATCAGTTCAATTGACCCTCGCAACATTCTAAACAACGACCTTCCAACCTAGTGGTAAAGGCTTGGGCATGGCATAGTCATGAACCCAAGTTCGAGCCCTGGGAGGGGAGTGTTGGCGACATTTAAGTGAGGCCATGTTTAGCCTCCAAAATTGCCGGGGATTAGTCGGGCATTGGCCCGGACACCCTTACAAAAAAAAAATTCTAAACAACGAAGTTACCAATTTCTACAACCAATTTTAATCAGAAGACTGGTACATATCGGCCCCTTGTATATTGAGCTATGGAATACTTTTGTGAACGCCTCCAGTATGCTCAAGTTTGGTGCACAGCTAATTTAGCAACAATGTGTTCATGAAATCATGATAAGAAAAACACAGCACATAGAACATGACGAAAATTACATCCATAGTAACATGATATAAGGAAGATACAAGAGGGAACAATGGATTACTCACTGGATCCGCTTCAACAGGTATACCAAGTCGTGATTGTGCATTTGCTAAAGTGAGAACAACATTCTCACGCTGATTCTTGATGTTGTCTTTCTGCACATGTAATGCCAGCACAAATAAAGAAAGCTGAACTGATAAATTCTAAACCGAAGACAGATGAGAAAGCAACATGAGGAGAAAAAGATGATTCTCATATTCATTAGCATATGGCCAACTAGATTTTGGACCATCGCTTGGACAAAAATAGCATTGCTAAGTGGCAAAAACTGCAAAACTACAGGTAAAGGGCCACATATAACAAAGATCCTCATAGTGGATCGGTGGGTGATTTTGAACCAAAATTTTATGAATAAATTATACTAACGTATATGCAAGGCAAAAAGCATGTTCATAACATGTGATGACGAATCCATGTACAAATAAAAATTTTGACAGTTACCAATAAGCCTCTATCCACAATATGCTAATTCTACTTTAGTAAAACATCGGAACTCCAAGGAGAAGTAAAAACTCTATAGCAAAACAATTTTCTATAGCTTTAGTTTCGCACAATAAACGGGAAACAGATAATATCAAAGTAAGGCAAGTGAATCACCAATAACACCAATCTATATAGAGAAAACAAGTGTTAGAATGCCTTCGGTGAAGGCTTATAAGGCTTGATATTTGTAAATAAGAAATAAGTCGAGCAGTAGTTTTGATAATAATCATTTTTCTTTCATAAGATAAATCACTATGTTGTGTATCAAGTATTACGCTTCAGATGAAGAACTGGGAATGTACATCAACAAAGGAAGATCCTACTGCATCAAAGCTCCTCAATTCCGTGAGGTAGGGAGGGATGTCTTTGTACAAGTCTTCCCCTTGCATTTCTAAAGGTTGTTCCCATGACTCCTCGAATCATAAAGAAGGAATCTTTCCCAATTGCTCTAAGAACCACAGGCAATATGGTTAATGGACTGGCTGCTCCTAGACACCCAGCAGCATATATAGTCATGGGAAAAGTAGGAAAGAAGTATACTGCGGTGAAAGTTAGATTCCAATACCAACTAAATATATGAGTAACTTTTTGCATGAGTTATAAATCATTGAGAAATGGACCTAAATAGAAGTATGTATACAAGTGGAGGAACTATAGAAATGAACAACAGAGTATAAATTCATAAACATGTATTCACCCCTCAAAGTAACCGAGACAATGGAAGTGAGATGTTCACAAGTCCAAGTCTCATTAACACAAGTGCCTCAAAATTCTACACAACCTAGGATAAGCAAGCATATATTTGGCACCAACAAGGTTCAAATATGAAAGAGTCCATACCTGAAAACCGAACACAAATTCCAGAAGATCAAACATGTCCAAGTTACGCTGTGCAGGAACCTCAAAATCAGCTGGAAGCCTAGGGAATTGTTCATGATATCTAATTGCCGATATTGCACCTCTAACCTGTGAATCAAAATACGGAATGAAGATTTATCATGCCTCAAAGTGCAGCACGAGAATACTGTGCAGTGCAATGAAAAATAAGTGTGTGTAAGCTCTTCACAAGGAACAAATTACAAACTAAAACAGTCTTTCAACTTACTTCTGGATAGAATCCAATAGCATTTGTCAGAGATGGTGCTTCAAGAGGAACGATGTTATAAGGCATTAGATCCCCCGACAATCCTTGATCTGTTTTCTTCAACCTTTTTAACTGGAATATATATACACAAAGAAATGATAAAGGAAAAGATTGATAGATACATATAAGGTGTTGATTGTTTTAAGCAAGTTAGATTGTATAAAGGATGCTAACCAACTTACTCCTAGATTGTCTATAAATAGTACTCGCCCAATTGCATCTAGGGTCATTCGTAATAATATCTTACATAATCACTACATTTTCTTTCTCTCTCACAATCTTCCTCTCTCTCTCTCTCTCTCTCTCTCTCTCTATTACTCTTTCTTCCTCATTTCATGGTATGAGAACTGTAAGACATTGATACTATTACAGAAATCACTAGAGATTTGTTGTCTACTACTCCCTCCATCCCAAAATAAGTGTTCACAATTGAAATGGCACACAGTTTTAGACATTTATAATTATTATTCCTTTCAGTTAACCAAATAAAAAATTTACCCTTATTTAATTTCTTTCTCTTCACAACTCTTCAATATTTGTGCATTAATAAAGGGTATATTTGAGAATGTAGTTATCTATTTTTGAAACTGGACACTTATTTTGGGACAAACATATATAGAAATCTGGACAATTATTTTGGGACGGAGGGAGTACTACAGTAGGAATGAATTAATAGCCAATACACTTCTACCAGTTACTAATATTACTAACTTTGTAACAATTCCACAAAATGGCAAAAACTACCTGGTTTTGAAGTATCAGATGTCACTGATTCTTGAGATATTACATTTGCTTAAGTTTGTCTCAGGTGACGCTGCTGCCTGCTACATCTCCAGATGTCACTCAGTGGAGATGACTCGATCTATACTTGTGTTTTTGTATAAATGCAACGCTACTAGCCTACTACTAATGTTGCTCCACAGACTATTGGATAAGACACTGCAAGAACATTATGGATCACAATAGAGACTTCATACTTGCAACGAGCATTTGCTTGCAAGACATAAGTACGAACACAGCTGCAAACAGTTTCAGCAGTAAGCTTACCGTCTTAGCCTAATGGAATTAGCCTAATTTCAGATGCATTGACAGCATAGAAGCACAAATCACATATTTTGTCCTTGTCCTTCACCCCCTGAATGGCCTAGATCTAGAATATGATTGGTTCATGATAACTGAATAGACTCAGCTCCCCCTTCTTTCCTTGATCTCTGTTCTCGGTTGCTTGTTTATGAAGAGAGGTTGTTGAGGCAACAAAAAGCATAAGGTTGGTTCCGTGACGGCCATGGCTATTGAATGGGCGTGGATTACTAGATCGTTAACATCTCTGGTGGTCTCGATGAACTCGCAACAGCCACATCAACAAGATCAGCCTCTGGCCACCACCATATACCACCGTGGCAGAGGCTGTGGCTGTGGAATAGTGATGAATGAAGCCTGCTAAATCTACCCAAAGTGCGATCAAAGCGCATCGAGAATCTATTACGTGTATTCTGCTTCACACGCTGCTACTGAACTTCAGAGGAGGTTTTCCGGCCGTGGAGCATCAGTCGCATTCCCTAGGTTTAAGGCTTACACATTTTCTCAACCCATAGGTACTGACTTTGGCAGACCAGAGTGCCAAGTGTTTTAATACGACCCAGCCAGTTATGATAACTCAGGTCAACACGCAGGTCAGAATGGCCTAGATCAGTGCCTTTCACGATTTGGAGAGTGGACCAGGTCAGCTGATTTCTGGGCTAACTGAGCCTACCGGACAATCATCATATGAGCCATCTGATTGGGCTTTTTCAGATGTTCCTGGTGGGAAGCCCTCTTAACAACCATGAGGGATATTTCAGCCGCCTAATATTCTGGTTGGCCACATTACGGGTTATTCGGTGATCCAGGTAGCCCTAGGTTTACAAACATTTTTGGCGAAGCCACACCATCGAGTATTTTCTCCGACTGATTACCAGATTCAGGAGCAATGGCGCATATGACTGCCAATCCGAATTTGATCAAAATGCAACTGCCTATTGAGGGTCCAATCATGTCTAGGAAGAAAATGGTATGGATCTTCCTATTACATATGTTTGGCACTCAAAATTAGCTTAACCTAATTGGTCCCATAATCCCATATATTGCTATGGATAAATAACTACAAATATTGAAGATAAAAGCTAACATAGAGGATGATCAGCCATACAGGGACTGAGACACTCCCCAAACTCCTACTGGAGGCAGCCTCGAACCGGGGTTTGAAACCAAACTTCTCCTCGAACCTTGCGGAGGAACCCTTAGGTTTTTGGGGCATTGGATTCTCACCGGTATTTGGTAATATTTTACTTGTACATGGTCTAACCAAGAACTTATTGTCCATATCTCAGCTAGTCAAAGATGATCCTTGTTCCATTCAATTCTCACCTTTTGGTGTGTTTGTGAAGAACCTGCCAAGAAACACTCTTCATCACATTCAGCCTAATTCACGAAATATCTACTCTTTTCCGGCTTCCGCCACCACTTCCTTCACTCAAAGGATCACTCCATCCATTTGGCATACTCGACTTGGCCACCCATCAAGTTCTGTTTTTTGCTTACTTCATTCGTTTTCCAATAATGACAAAATAACATGTTTCCTTGAAATGCTTGTAATGAAGCTAATAGTACCGATCACCATTTGCACCTACAGTGTCTCGTATGCATTGTTACATTTGGGGTCCCTCTCCTACTATTTCTTGGCGTGGATATAAATATTTCATCACTTGTCCTCTCTTAATAGAGCTATCCTGGTTCAGTTTCCTTCTCCACTTTCTCTTTCTATTATTTTCCACTTCGTTGCAACCTCTTGCAACTTCATCTCCTTCCCCTTTGACTGCTACTTTTAAGTCTCCTTTTCTTCCTCTTCTTCTACTTCCATTTCTCCTACCACGCAAGCTCATCCGCTGGTCACAAGAAACCATGAACATACGTGTAAGTCCAAGTCACTTCCTAATCATGTTCTGTATCATGCTTCTCATACCTCCCACTATTCCCAAAGCTAGTATAGCTATTAGACTGAATGTACTTAAGTGCAATTAGTATATGTAGAGGGCACTCCTATGTAATTAGTATCTCTATATATAGAGACTGATTGTAATTAGGTTACATATCAAATCAATACACAAAACCCTTGTGGTTTATTTTGGTATCAGAGCCAAGTTACCAAAACCCAACCCGCCCTCTTGGTCACGCCACTACAAGGCTGATCGTCCATTGCCGCTGCCACCGCCTCTGTTAATCTGACCGTCGTTGCCGCTGGAATCATCTGCTACCACCGCCACCGGAATCTGCCGTCTGCTATCCACTGCCGCCACTGGAGCCCTAATTTTTGAATCTGCCGTCTGACGTCCGCTGCCATTGGAACCCTAATTTTCAGTCTTTTTTCTTTTACGGTACATTACTACATCCTGGCTCTACTAGCCTCTTTCACAACAGCAGAGATACAATCTCACAATTCACAAGTTTGCTCTTACCCTAACTCCTACAAACTATGGGTATTGGAAAACAATGATCCAACCCTTTCTTGTAATAAATAACCTATTGGGATATATAGATGGATCAATACCGTGTCCATCCAAACATCTACCATCAACCACAACCACCTCCAATCCAAAAGGCTACCACTGATCCACAAGATAACCCTAATTACCCGATTTGGATTTCTATTGATGCTCACATTCTAATGTTGATTATCTCCACTATCTCTGAAGCCACTTTTCGACATGTCAAGAGTGAAACTTGTCGTGATCTCTGGCTTGCCCTAGAACGAGCCTATTCCCCTCACACATCATCCAGGGAATATATACTGAAAACTCAACTTCTCAGATTCAGATGAACGGTGATGAAACTCCATAGGCTTATCTCAATCATGCACAGGAGTATGCAGATGCTCTAGCTGCCATTGACGAACCTGTCAAAGATAAAGATCTCGTTATGCTTGTAGTTTCTGGTCTCCGTGAAGAATACAATGGTCTCAAATCTACCATCACCGCACGTCAATTCCTGACTACCTTCAATGAACTTTATGCCTTCTCAGTGACCATGACTACATGCTTGGACAAACTCGTGCCTCTACTCCATCTGTTTCTCAGCTTTTTGCAGCTACAACCGGCAATTCTGTTTTTCACAGCCTTCTGGTTTGTCACTGCCTTTTGGTTATCATCATCAACAACTTGTTGCTTAGATCGATTCCATTGCATCTAAACTTGGTTATCAGTTGATGTCTGCTGCAACTTCAAGCCCTCAAGCTTTCTATGGTTCTCGTCAGCCCCACAACAACAACCATGGTAATCGTCACCAAGGAACTTCTGGTGGTACAGCGGTGGACGTGGCAATGGTCGCCAATTTAGTTGGGCATCCAATCAAAACACGCTATACGAAATTTGTAACCACTGTGGTATTGTGCACCTCCCATCACAGTGTCCTAATCGTGATCCATCCATCATTCGTCCTACGCAAACTGCTAACTTTGCCAATAGCCGCTCCTCCCCATCTGTTGAATGATTGAATCAACTTCATGGTTTCCTGACACAGGAACGAACAGTCATGTTACGCCTAATTTATCAACAATGGATAACTCTAAAGCTTATCATGGTGGTCACGCTCTCCATGTTGGTAACGGTAAGGGTCTCCCTATACTTCATAGTCTCAACCATTTACTCACCACACAAACCCATTTTCTATTTAATATTCTTCACATTCCAAAAATCACCAAAAATCTTCTTTCTGTGTTTAGATAACAATGTTCTCTTTGAATTTCACTCAACTTTTTTTGTCGTGAAGGACAAGTCTACACGCACTACCCTGGTTACCGGCCCCAGTGAGAATGGACTTTACTCTATTCGTCTACCCCAGCTCAAGTCTATCAATAAAATCGCTTTTGCTGCTGATCGTGCATCCTCTACCATTTGGCATAGGTGGCTTGGTCATCCACATCGTCTTTTTCATTTTATGCTTTCTAGATTTTCTATTCCTGCTACAAATAAGACATTACCTTTTTGTACGTCTTGTCAAATGGGGGCAAATCATCAAAACATTCATTACCTGTTTCT